AACATTTTAAATAACTTCTCTTTTTTTTAGTTCAGTTGACCTGAAATTACCAAAACTGATATATTTGCATGAAATAAACTCAAAAAGATGAGTTGGTTTGACTACATTTTAAAGGAATTCAACTCAGAAATTTAGTCAAATCACCTAATTTTCTAGTTAACTTAATACAAATATGTGTTTTCTTAAATTTCTCTTCAATTTCTGGTTTAGTTAATGTAAATATATATGTTGGTAAAAAAAAGTGTATCTGAGCTGTAGTTAAAGTAAATATTAAATAAATCTAACTTCTCTTTCTGTTTTTGTAAAGACAGTTTTAGACATTTTAGGTGTTGCTAATCAGAAAACAGCAAAAACTAATTTATGTGTATTAAATAAACTAGAGAAGATGAGTTAATTTGACTAAATTTCAAGTAATTTCACTCTTCTTTTCCAAACAAAATGAGTCAAACCAACAGTTTACTTAATGCAAATATGTGCATTCCTAAATTATCTGGCTTTTAGTCCAATCAACTCGTCTTTTCTCGTTCACTTCATGTAAATATTTGAGTAATAAATGAGTAAATAGTGTATTTTAGCTGTAGTAGAATTCCTGTTTTCAGTAAATCTCGGTTCTCTTTCTTTTTTTGGTAAAGACAGTTTTAGACATTTTAAGTTTTGTTAACCAGAAATTAGCTAAAACTCATATATTAGCATTAAATAAACTAGAAAATATAAGTTGAACTAACTAATTTAGTCATATCAACTAATCTTTTCTAGTTTATCTGATTCAAATATGTGCATTCCTTTGGAATTTAGTCAAATCAACTTATATTTTCTAGTTAAGTTAATGTAAATATATGTGTAGTATATGAGTAAATCGTGTACTTTCTGCTGTGGATGAACAACTGTTTGGACTAATCCTCACTTCTCTTTCTGTTTTGGTGAAGCCAGTTTGCTTTTGTTGACTTTAACAACTTAAAATTACACTTTGTCCCTTTAAACTGGTTCAGATTTTAACAAACGTGCAAAAATTAGGCGTATTTCTCCTTTAGGATTTAGTAATATCTGCTGCAACTTAACCAAGTTGAATTACAGACGAGAGAAAAGGAGAAAACAACAAGTTAAATGTCAAGTTTAAGGTGGAAAACTGGGAAACTTCACGTTGACTTTCATTAAAATGCTCGTTTGAGAGGAATCAAATGATGTAAGTGCTTCAGCCAGTGATACTGATATTACTGATTAATTTCATCTTGATCAATTGAATTTAATCGCCTCTTATCACTCGAAGCAGCTCATTGAAGTCGGTCCAACACTTGTGTTTTTTTAGTTTATATCCCTACAGATAAACTGGCATCATAACATCACTGGACTGATTGATCTAAACACACCAGAGGTCACCCGTTGTGCTAACGTGACGTAACTCTGGAGCTGATACACAAAAACAACGTGTTTCCACTCAGTTAAAACCGCTATTAAAGATGCATGCTTCATATAGGATTTTTCCCCTCCACGGTGCCAATAATGTGTTTTTTGAGCAAACCGCCGTCTCTCCTCTGTCATGGAAACGTGGATACAAACCGAGCTGTGTCGTAGCTGCACAATGCGTCCTTTATGTTGCCTCATCCTCGCTGTAATCATCCAGCTCAAAGTATCCGCGAGCAACGCTGCACTTTGCTGCGCCGTTACGCAATTTACTACAGCTGGCACTTCTGACTTTATAATTCCTGCGTCTCGAGGCCTCAAACTGTTTACTGTTGACCTTAAAACGCTGAAGTATCATTAAAACGAAAAGAGGCCAAAGACAGGAACAAACAAGCCGTTTGTAAGGTCCACGTTTAAAGCGACGCAGCGTCCTCACATCTCCGCTGCTCGTAAATACCAACCGGCGGCTTCTTCCTTCAAAGCTTCTTCTAATTAGAGGCCAGAGAGCTGGTGTGTATAATTCGCAGCAGACCTCAAAGCCCCGTAAAGCAAACACGGAGACGAGCTTTGTGATTGTGAAGCACGTGGCGCGATGCTACGTAGCCGCAGCGCTACTGCTGAACGCCGCAAAGTCGGCGGACCTCCTGCAGGAAGAGTTTGATCCCAGAAAGAAAAGCATGGACGCCCTTCACCACAACTTCTTTTATTCAAGAAGACACAACACCGTCCACGTAGTTACACAGACCGGTCCACGTGTGCTGCCCGCAGTCTTATCCATCAAACACCTCCAGATAACCAAGAACAGATATATGTAGCTCTATTTCCCAGCTTTATATAAACAGTGAATACAGAATAAGGCGTTCAGTAATAAACATATCACAGTATTTACTGACTGTACATTTTTAATAGATTATACTACGACCGTGCGGCGGCGGCACAGTTTGGAGGCTTTGCATTTTGAAACACAACCTTTAGCACCCGAACAGTGAAGAACTGTGCAAAGTGTGCAAGCCTATAGCACAAAAATACAAATACAACAGATACGTGTCCGTATGTAAACATTGTCTGATAATCTTACAAACATTCATCTGAAAGAAAAGTTGCTCTTGTTTGGAGAGTTAAAAAAAACAACCTAGAACACAGAAATCAGTGGAGACGTCTGATGAAGCTTTTTGGAAAACTCTCACTTGTGCTTCTTATTTTGAATCTGATGCTCCCGTTTCTTACTTTTTTGATCGGCTGACTCTCTTTCAAAGCTATTTGCAGTTAAATCTGTTGCACAAACCAAGAAAAGAGGCTTTGTTTGGTGCACTAATTAACTAACAAAGTTCCTTTTTTATTGGAAAACATTAAATTCGTGTTCAGTCATCTTTTAAAAACCGCTGTTTTGATGGCGTGTCATGCTCAAGTGTTGGTCTGATGACAGGTGAATCACACACATGCAGACAGTTTGTCAGAATATTTATTTCTTTAACAGATTTTTGTAATTTTTAGAGGATCTTTTCCGTCTTTCAGTCAGACGTTAACGTCCCTCTGAGGTATTTTATCCATTAAAATTCCTCAATTAGCAGTTTTTACATGAAACTGTTCCTCAGCATTGTGAGTATGACCCAAACTGTCCACTCGTGTTTTTATTTTTCTTAACAATTAATACTGATGATGTCAAATCCAGACTTTTTAAGCACATTTCAGCGCCTTGTGTTTTTTCTCAACACTGCACTAGATGTAAACGATCTGCAATGCGGACTGACATAAACTACAATAATTAAAGTCCTAAAAGATGTCCTGACAGATGCTAATGACACGTCCGAGTTCAGGTAACAAAACAGCATCTGTTATATCTGATGCTGTGCATTTTGCAAATTAAAGTGTGGGTTCTTCAGATGTGGAACTGTTGATTTCAAACTTTGAAACGGTGCAATTAGAAAAATCTGCAGGGCTGCAGGGTTTCCCCCAAATCTTTCATCTTTACTTTGAAGATCTGGTGAGATATAACAAAACCTGGAGACCCACAACTATCTGCATGCAAACACTGAAAACTAATTTAAGGGAACATGTTTCCGACGCTTAATTAAATGTTGAAAGATCTACAAAAAGATCTAATTTACTGATTCAGATAAACTCCTTAAAGTTGAGAAACCTCATTTTGAAAAGCTGGTTGGACATAATAATGCTGCACCAACTTAATACTGTGTGTGATTTAAATTCACATGTTTGCTTCAGTTGATTTAAACAAAATTCAACAGAAACATCAGGTGAACCGACCCTTTGTGTTTTGGTTTTGTGTCCCTGATGTTAATTTTCAACCTGCATCTCCCTCTGAGTCACACTCCATGAACAATAGCTCTTAAATGTACTTTTGAAATGAAGTGGGAAAAGAGTCGGCACAACAACTCTAAATATCTGGCAAAACAGATCATTTATATTGCAGGGAAAGTGAGAGCAACACCAAAATTTCAAAATAAAGTTAATAAAAGATGCCCCAGTTTACTCTGCACTGTAAATTATCTTAAGTTCATTTAGCTTAAAACCAAACTTCCTCTGCTGACTTCAAAACGCGACTCAACTGAGCTTCGGTTGATCGATGAGCTAAAAGTTGTGATATGAGTTGTGTGAAACTAGCTGAGTTAAATAAACTAAACCTGTGAAAACAAGTTCAATAAACTTAAACTATTAAGTTGAATCAACTAGTCAAATTATATATATATATATATACTAGTTTTGTTTCTTATAAACTTAATTTAATCGTTTGAGTGTCAGCTGACAATCAAAGAGAAAAGATGAGTTGACTGAATTTAGTCAAACCAACTCATCTTTTCTACTTTATGCAAATACACTGAAACAAACTGAATTTAATGAGTTGAGTGAACTTTAAGCTGTTCATTCCCTTAACTCATCATTTTAAGTCAAAATGCATCAAGTTGTTGTTAAAGTTCAGTTAACTGACTTAACTAATTCATCTTTTCCAAAGTCCTTTGGAGTTTAGTCAGATCAACTCATCTTTTCTAGTTTACTCAACCTGAAATTAGCAAAACTCACATATTTGTGCTCAGTAAACTTGAAAAGATGAGTTGATTCAATTCATCTTTTCTGGTTTACTTGATGCAAATATATTACTTTTACATCAGATGAGTTGATTTGACTGAGCTAAACTAAAAAACAATAAGTCAGTTTGACTAAATTTCACTTTCCTTTGGAATTTTGTCAAATCCACTTATATATATATATTAGCTTACTTAATGTAAATATGTGGGTAAAAAGTGCATTTGAGTATTGGTTTGAATAATTTTCACCTATCTTCTCTGCTGCAACTTTCACTGTTTTCTTTAAAGAAGGTAAAGAAAAGGAAAGAAATGTAAGTTTAATGGCAAAATTGTGCTTTATGTTTTGGGTAAAGCAAACTTCAAGGTGAATGATTTGAGTCGATCCAACTTAAACCTGCAGCATCAGTACAACCTGTTAATATGCATGAACTTAATTTAATTGAGTTCTATCGACTAAAGTGATTTATTTAAGTTGATCCAACAATCCTGTGTAAAGCTTTAGATTCAGAACTTCAAGTAGAGTTTAGATAAAGCAAATATTTAAGGTGGAAAAACTGCAAACTTCAAGTTGCACCACCTGTGGCTTCAGGACAATTTGTTAGATGAACTTAATTTCATTGAGTTTCATCGACTGACGCTGTTTATTTAAGTTGGTCCAACAATGTATTAGTGTCAGAAATTAACATGGATTAAAGCAAATACTTGAGCAAACTTCAAGTTGAATGATTTAAGTAGATCCAACTTCAACCTGTGGCATCGATACAACTCGGTAGCTTAACTTGGATCAACTTAATTTAATTAAGTTTTACCAACTAAACTGATTTAAGTTGGTCAAAGAATCCTGAAGTTTAAGTGTCAGAACTTTATGTAGATTTTGGGTAAAGCAAACACTTAAAATGGATAAAAAACTGCAAACTTCAAGTTGCACCACCTGTGGCTTCAGGACAATTTGTTAACTTGGATGAACTTAATTTAATTGAGTTTCATCGACTGAAGCTGTTTATTTAAGTTGGTCCAACAATCCTGCTTAAAGTATTAGCATCAGAACTTCATGTAGGTAAAGCAAATACTGGAGCAAACTTCAAGTTGAATAATTTAAGTAGATCCAACTTAAACCTGTGGCATCGATACAACTCGGTAACTTGGATGAACTTGGTTGACTTTTACCAACTAACGTGACCGGAGTTGGTCCAACCGTCCTGCGTAAAGTTCGAGCCTCAGAACTTCATGTACTCGTTCTTCAGGCGGCTCAGCCTGGTTCCGTGGCTGCGGATGATGAGCGACAGCAGCTCGTGTTTGTCCTTCAGGCCCAGAGAAATGTCCACGGTCTCCTTGAGCACGTCCCGCGTGTGCACGATCATGGTGAGGAAGTCGTCGTTGAGCCGGTGCTCCTCCTTCAGCTCGCTCTCCTGGCTCTGCTTGAACTTCACCTCCAGCTCCAGCAGCGACTTCTCCGAGTTTGTGAACGCCTCGCTGATCTGCGCCGTCTCCCTGCGCAGATACCTGCCGTAGCTGTCCTCCCCGTCCAGGTCGTAGGAGATGCTCTTGCCGATGCCCTCCAGCACCCGCGCCGAGTCCTCGATCTGCCGCTTGATGATGGTGAAGTCGTCCCGGATCACCGCGTCCTGGTCCTCGTCCAGACCGCACTTGCGCTCGTCGGTCATCTTGAACAACATCTGGCACTTCTCCGGGTCGTCGTTGTCCTCGTAGTCGCCGTCCGGCACGAAGTAGTGATGGAAAGTCCCGTTGGACATCTCCGGCTGAAGAGGTCCGTTGAAAAACGCGCCGCACATGGACGCGCACATCCAGGCGCACAGGAGCAAGTGAACAAAAGCCATGTCGGTCCCCAAAACACGCTCTCAGCACGGAAAGGAAGAGTTCAGTTTAAACCACCGGCCCGCTCGACTACAGCCCAACCCTGCGCGTAAAAACGAACATTTCAGGCACTTTTGAAGCTCCAAGTTGCGCACTGCTCCTCTGTCCGAGCGGCTCCTCTGCTCTGTTCGTCCTCTAATCCGCTCTAGCAGCTCCCATCCCTGCGCGGCGGACTGTGGAAGTTTGTCTCCGGAGCTCCAGACTTCTCCCGGTGCCTCGAACGCAACATCTGGATGTGTCCGGTGGCGCGCTCGGCTTTTTGGCTAATAATACCTCCGCGCTGCTCTCAAATTACAGCCTCCGTCACTTTAAAGGCTGCATTCAGGGCAGAGCAGCCCGGGACTCTGTGTTAATCCACACAAGCGTGACAGGCTCGACGCGTTATGACGCTGCGCGCAAAACACACACAGGCGACCACATTTGGACCCACTGGTCCTGTAATTACAGCACAGAGCCCCGTTGATCACACCGCGCTACGGTTTAACGGCCTGATGACACTCTGGCACAAATG